AAAAATTTGCTCCGCACGCCCCGCTCAACCCTTTAACCCACGAGCTCGCCTCAGGCTCATGGCTCGTGAAAGATGAGCCGAGCTCGAGCTCGACTCGTTGCTCAGGGACGAGCTCAGCTTGGCTCGTGAGCCATGAGCCGCTCGTGAGCTAGTAACTTTTTTAATTTTTTTGGTAAATTTTCACTTTTTTTTAACTTTTTTTGGTAAATTTACATATTTTTTGACGAGCCCACGAGCTCTCATAAAAAATGGCTCGTGAGCTCTTCGAGCCTCAGCTCGTGGGATTGAGCCCCCTGCTCGCCCACGAGCCGAGCGGCCTAGCCGACGAGCCGCTCAGCCCGTTTGACATCCCTACCTGTGCGAAGCATGCCAACTAGTGCTCGCATTGTGTGGAGTATTTGTTTCTTTTTTTCGATTTAAATTATTATTTACTAAATTATTAATTTTTAATTATTTTACTGTGTCAGAAAACAATTGATTGACACATTAGCCAATTTTTTTATTTTACAATCTTAAGGAGTTGCTCCACACAGTGTGGAGCATTCCAGCTAGTGCTCCGCACTGTGCGGAGCATTTGCCTATTTTATTTTATTTTTTTAATTTTTATTATTATTTACTAAATTATTAATTATTAATTGTTTACTTTGTCAGTAAACAATTGATTGTCATATTAGACCATATCATACCAGTTGGACAGTTTTATTGTATAACTAAATTATTCTTTTGCTAATTACATAAAATTATGCTTTTACTTCTTCTCAATCTCGTTATCTTTTCTTGTAGTCATCATTTTTTTTATTTCAATCCACCATAGCACTTTACATTAGCTTCAGTAATAAAATTTATTTTTAACCAAATCTAGCAAAGCATATCGAAAAAATAATTCTTATCTAATTAAATGAAAACTATTTCCCACGAGGAGTGTTTTGTCTGAAATATTTTGTCCATTTCTGAAATAGGAATATTTTGTCTATTTCTATATTCCTACACTGTGAATCTCTTGTCAAATTCTCTCTCAAAAAAGGACAAGTATTATTTAGTTTAAATAGCTTCTCATACCATTTGTTCTCACTTAACCAATTTACATATCTATACCTTTACCTACCAGGGCTTTGCTCGAAAAAATCAGGTTTAATTTACTATTTCTTTCTTGATTCTTTTACTATAATTGTTCAAAATAAATTCTTAGTTTTAAATGACATATAATTTTCATTCTTTAATCGTGTTAAAAATCATACATAGGACAATGTATCAACACAAAAATGGATGTGCTACATAACTTTCAAAATTATCGATATTTCACTATAATCATCCGTCTGGTAAGTTATATAATAATATCTTCTCTCATACTTGTATAAATATTTTATTTACTGCCTATATTTTTTTCATATATGTAGATGCTTTCTACATCTTTTGTCAATTGTTGGAGACATGAATTAGGTGATACAGTACGATTAACTCCATATGATCGTATAATTGTAACAATACAACTACAAAGAGTTGATGGAGAAATATATTTGGCTAATGGATGGGAGCAATTTTTCGACCATCATAACTTACAGGATCGTTATGTTGTAATATTTGAATATAATGGAAATTCCACGTTTAATATGAGGATATTTGATCATTCTAGATCAGAAGTTATAAATGGCTCCGATGTTGAAGATGACGAGGACGCTTTACATTTGGATAATCCTGCATTCGAAGTAACACTAATGCTCAATCACAACAACCATTGAGAAATTGTAGGTATCTTTAATATATCATTCTATATTTACCTCTTCCATATTATTTTAATCTTAACATCAGCATCCATGTTTTTCAAGTCTATACCAGGAAGGTTTGCAAGATACCATCTACCAAGATATGTGCGGAATGTTCAGCTCCACGACTCTTTACATCACAACTGGGATATCACTGCAAATTCAAGATCAAACTGTGTAATGCGTCGTCTTACTGTAGGTTGGACCGATTTTCTGACAGAGAAGGAACTACAAATCGGCGATACATGCGTATATGAATTATTAAATACTGAATCTCCAATGTTCATGGTCTGCAAAAAAAATCAGAACGATGGAACTCTAACCCGTCTATGAAACTTTTCACACCAATAATGTTTAATATTTATGTTTATTCATTTCACCTTTTTCAGCAGTTAATTATCTCAAACTCTCACAGAAAGATTTTCATAGAAATTGCACTTTTTCCTCTCTTTACAATTCAAAAATACTGTAATGTTTCTAACTAAAACATAACATTTATCTGTTGTATATATTAATACATATATAGTTATACCAACACATACACATACATGGTTACACCAATACATTTTATGCTCCATAGATTCACCTTGAAGAAGATGTTTTGAAGTAGAATGAACCTGTGCGTGTCGTAATAATATCACTTACCATAGAAATATAGTTATGGAATGGCAAAATGATTCAGTCAAGTTGAAAAACTTACAGAAGTGGTTTCCATAAATGGTTTCCTCCATCTCGAAACTTCTAAATATCAGTTTTACCAATTATATCCACATTAACTACGCGACATCTAACAGCTACATAGAATAATATGAATAACAAATGACTATTAGTAAACGAAAACATGAGAAAAAATAAGAGAATTCAAAAAGTTGTGTGTGACTAATACTTGTATTCAGAAAACGTAAAGCATGGCCACTAATTAATATATTTTTGAAAATAACTTTAGAAATCCTTTTTGTAAAGATACCATTGTGCAAAATCAATATTTCATCATGACAATCACAAGTTATATGTCAAGATTTTTGTTCTTAATTTTTTGTGTGTAATAACGAATATAATCAATAAAAAATTATAACAAACAATTAAGAATATACCTTAGAATTGAATATAAGCTGCATAATCTACCTGAAGAGTTTAATCAGCTGAAGATTTTAATCAGTTATTTACCGTGAACTAAATTCAAGATTTCATGATAGATAATATTTTTGGTACAACAAGTATGTAATTTGTTTTTGACAAAGGGTTTGATCAGAATTTTTATATTTTCTCTTGTTCTAGCTCGAGACAATGCACCATACAATTGGCCATGAAAAAATACAAGTTCTAGAAGATATAAGTCAATAAAATCTAGAGTTTGACCTTGGGCTTTGTTAATGGTCATTGCAAAACACGGACGGATTGAAAATTGAGTTCTTTTAAATGGTACAGGCTGTTTATGGACTTCAAGAGAAATAAATGGAACTCTAGGTAAAAATACTTGCTTTCCACGATATTCTCCTGTCCCAATTTCAACCAAGATAGCATTATGCTTAAAGTCACAACAAATAAGTCTAGTCCCCATTGCATAAACCTTCTGCAGGATTATTCTTTCTAAGCAATATAACTGAACAATTTGTTTAATATGAGTTTATGTGGAGTTATATCATTTGGAGCTAGACTGTTCAAAAAAATTTCATCAATATTCCTTCACTTTTATCAATCATTTCATCAAAACTAAGATATGTAACTTTCTCTCTCGAAATTTCTTTAAGCAACATATTGTTTATTAAATTTACATATTCATTTTTTGGGGTTAAAATAATTTTATTCATCATAATATGTAGGATGTCTCCATATATCTGGAATTGGGAAACATAAAGTCAATTAATTCTTTCAATGATTTAAATTCAGTTTCAAAATTGATGATAATATTTTCAGGAAGCGTAATCATTTGACATGAACGTGTTCTCTCAATTCCATTCCCAATGTTCAGCAAATATTCACAGAATGAAAAATCTAATTTAACTCTCATATTTTTGAATAATGCTAGCTGTGTAAAAGAACGCCATAAATGCGAAAAAACTAAACTTTCCTTCATTATATTGTCTTTTGTTCCTCTCTGTACTACTAGTAAAATTTGTCGAAAATTTCCTCCACATACAACTTTTCCACCAAACAGTAATTGACATTTAGTAATGTCTCTTAATATTTTATCTAAAGCCTCAAAAGCATATTTATGAACCATTGGTGTTTTATCCCCAATTATTAGCCTAGCAATGCTAAAAGTTTACCAAGCACGAACTGTTTACTCACCGAACAGCGCATATCAGAACTTACTTCAAGTGAGATTTTGAATCTTGAATGTCATGTTCGACCAGCCGGTAATAGAGATACAGCTACATCTGATGATGTCGTTGCTAGTGCGATAAGTTTCGAGATCGTACACAAAAAAATAATGCCTTGTACAAATACTTTTTTTTCAATACCTCCTAGGCCATCGATAAAAAACATTCCATTCGTATCCTTTAAAACACAATCCAAAATAATATCATAGGCATTTTGTTGCTCTTTATTTAAACTCTTACTATAATGTATGTCTGACTAAAAATTAATATTGATTGTTTCTTCGACAATCATGATTTCAAAGATATTATCATCATTCACAGTTAAATCAAAATCTACCAAACAAAAATCAATTATATACTTACCAACACCTTTTAAGAAAAAATTTATACAGTGCAAAGCTTTCATCTCAGCACTTTGTTGTGTGAAACCTTTATGTAAATAATCTTTTATCAAGAAACCTTAAATTTATCCCATAAATTCCTTGAATTTGTAGGGCAACATAAACTTAATACATTGGCAAAAAGTCGTTGCACTGATATAGGCATTTGGTAAGCAACTGCTTCAAATAAACACATATAGAATAGCTATTTCTACTAAGAAGATCATGCAAAAATGCTACTTCACAAGAAGTAGATAAAACAATACCGTCGACTGTTTTTAAATTTTCAAAAGATTTTGGTCCTCTAATATGATTTAGCAAAACTCTTAAAAAATACATTCCATCCTTACATGGATTAGCACTGACTATTCTACCAATAACATCTTTGCTTTTTCTGGGACTCCAAATTCGCATGGATGCATCTCATACAAAATAGGTTGAAAATTCTTTATACAATAGAGTTTTTGCCTTTTTATTTGAAATATTCATTCTAAAGAATTCTATTAACATTGCTTGGTGAACAAAGTCCTTATTTATAACATTTGATAAATTATCTGTGTCATTGTATGTAATTGTTTGAGCATCTTTAGTATGTAATTGTAAAGAAATATTTTCCATATAGCTTCAGGTGGAGATATCCACCTAGCTGTTTGGTAGTTTGAAATCTCATCAATGAATTGTTCATTCGTTTCTTTATTTAAAGTAAAATAAATGCGATCATGTCCCTTATATACATTCTTGTATAGATATTTAACATCCTCAACAGAAGAACATATCTCCACATTAATTTGACAATCATATTTAATTAAAATGTAAGGATTATATGGTACAATCCGTCTATTATCCAACATACACGCTCTTACTTTAACACTTTCACTATCATTGGGACGCTTGTATAGTGGGTAGTAATCATAACTCAAAGAAGTATCTTCAACGTAATCTCTCGGATACTTATTTTTACACACAAAATTCTTTTCCATACAAACATTCTTAGGACTCAAATTCCCACAAGGGCCATACATCATATTTTTTACAACAGTAGCGTGCAGGTAACGACATTTTTTTATTAGAATTTCGTTTAAATATGAGGAGAAAATGAGCGTGAGGTAATCCCCTTTTTTGGAATTCAATCATATAAACATATGCAACAATATGACCCAACAACTTTCTCTTAACCAAATCTGTTTTCAGTTTCTCAAACTTGGCACGAAATATTCGTACTAACAAATCTAGTCTATCCTGTATTTCGTCTCTGTGTTTCAATTCATATTTTATTTCAGACCAATTTGAATTACATGTCATTGTCAAAAGCACATCAGGTTTACTATATTTATGAATTAAAGACATTGCATCCATACATCTTTTAGTCATGTTTTCAGGACCCCCAACAAAATTAGAAGGCAACTCTAATGATCTGCCAATTTTATAAACACTATTCTCACCATTTTTACATTATCTATAATTCCCTGATATAGTTCAACTCTTATAGCCTTTTGGTTATTACGAAAGTAGTCTAATATTACTGTTTCAATTTTCACATACATATCCACAACATACTACTATAAAAGTATACCAGCATGTAAAAGAATACAATTACAATTGTTTACACACCCGATCTGAAGCTTATAACAATAATATTCCCAACATAATACAATTATTTGTTTTTTTCTTTGCGTTCAAAACTGCAAGAAAGAAAATGATATATCAATAAAAACTTCATTTACTAAATGCAATCAATAAGATAAATAAATTAGTTTAAAAAATAAAAAATATTATAATCGTTTACCATAGTCTCCTACTTCCAATAGTTGATTCACAGAATGAACATGATTAACTTCTATTAAATTTTGATAAACCGAAGCTTGTGAAACACTTACATTCACCTTTTGAATACCTTCATGCCATCCAGGTTCTCCATACGAAAAAAGTAGTGGATATTGGAGAGGATCATAACAACCATAATATTATTGAACTTTATATGCATTACTTGAATGTCCATAAATTAATAAATCTCAACCTCTAGTTTTTGTAGATGAGTCATCGTCAACCCAAACTATAGCCATTTGTTCTGATGTTTGCAAGTTATATACTCTTTGATCAAGATCAAGATTAGACCTCCGTAAAATATGACATGATTCTAAATCACTAACTTCACTTAATAGTCGGAAATACTTTGAATAGAGATTTTTGTTTAGAACATCTATCAACTTTTTTAAAGTCAACTCATAAAATTTGTCAGAAGTATTGAGTTTATTACAAATTTTATTTTCAGTATCATTGATAAGTGTATTTTATACACTTATTCGGTAACTTAAAATAAAGATATTTGATGGTTCTTTTGACAAATTATATCCTAAATTGTTGTTTCTTATTTTTAATAGGTAAATTCTATGAATGAAAAATGAATTAAAGGAATGAAGCGATAAAAGAGTGAAATCCAAAATTTGGGGGCCAAGTTGTATCAATTCAATAGTTGATCCGGACCATGAATCGAAGATTGAAATGTTTGGAGATCAAATTGAATAATTTAGAAAGTGAAGGACTTGAATTGAACCAAAGAATATATGAGTTGAAAAAATAAAAGGGCTCAAGGATTGAAATTTATTGTATGGAAAGATCGAGGATTTGATGGGTTATATTGTATTAAAGTCTTTGAATGAGAGTCAAACTTTGTGTCTAGGGTTGTTATATATATATCAATTATGCTAGATGGACAGGGAGTATTGACCGAATGGATACAGGGATTTGAAAAATGGTGACTGTGCATTATTTAATTCATTAAAAAGTGAATAAAGTCACCAAATGTAAAATGGAGGGAAATCGATTAATTAATAAAACAAAGGTTTCTCTCTCTCTCTCTCTCTCTCTCTCTCTCTCTGTCTACCCACTTTCCTCCAAGTACAGAAACGGAAGGGAGAAAATTTCCTCCAACAGGCTCAATTGAAATCTCCATTTTCACCCAGTTTTTCCCAAAATTTTTAACTTCCCTCTCCACCCATTTTGAGGATAACTAGGAATGCCAACTTAGTTGTTCAATCGAAAATTCTAGCATAATTGATAAACATCAGTCTAGTTCAGTTGAAAATTCTCAACTCCCAAACGCGTGCATTAAAACGAGAGAACAAAGAAAGCGGGCAAGCATGAAATTGCGATCTTAGGCTCCAGCTCGCAACTTATGTACCTCCAAATTTGTTAGTCGAAAAATCTATTTAAATTTTTTTTATTTAAATTAAAGTTAATAATGAAGTTTAACGACCGACTTTTTAACCACACATTTCATGATTTTAATCCCATCAAACTTAGACCAAATATATGACTCATATAATTAAAAATGTCAATGCAAATTATAAAATATAATTTCCCGTATTAAAATACAAAGATGACAAATCAATTAGCATTTTTATCAAATTCACTGAAATTCACGTGCAATTTTATTCTTCGACATTGATAATTTTGGTCATTGAGGACGTCAAGTGAGAATTGAAAACTTCACTTTTACAAGTTGATATTCCAATTCAGCCGTAAATTTCCTATAATAAATTACATAAGAAATATTGAAAAGGAAAAAGGTAAACAGGGAGTAAGTTCCCGTTTGTTTCTCATTTTTGAAAGAATGAGAATGAAAAACATAGTTGTTACGGGCCCTACACAAGAGATAGAAATTCAAATTTGGTGACTTGATGTGATGGATAACGGTCATATTTTTCATTTTAATAAAAAAAGAATGAGAACCAAATAGGGGCTAAATATGGCACCAAATTGGACCTGGCAGAAGGAACGATATGGACTATCAGAGAATAGTAACTTATGTAACGCCCCGAACTCTTTTTCATATTATTATATTATTTTTAATTAAAATAAGCTCGAGATGCTACCAAAACTTTTCTCTATCTAATTTAAGCGGAAATATATCGAAAATACTTGATTTGAAATTATTAATTTAAAATTTAAGATAACATATCGAATGCTTGAACAACATATTAAATAACATGCATACTATATTTTTCAAATAAAAGTGGACAATTATCTTTCTTGAAAATTTACTTGACGACCCCATTAGCATCACTCTATCAATCTTCCACGCGTCTACACGACCCGTTCTCATCTGAAAATATTGTAAGAGTGAGTATTTTGAAAACACTCAATAAAAATACGTGCATATTCTTATAACATGATATAAACATACCGATATTTCTTAAATTTAAAGCAACTGGTCGCGATTCCAACAGCTCAAGGGATTTCTTAAGAATCCCCGTATCCCGTAGGATTTAATCATATTGACCCAAAGGTCTATCCCGTAAGATTTAACTTCTTTTCTTTGACCTGACGGTCCATCCCGAAGGATTTAACATAAAATTCGATCCGAAAGCCTTATAGTATTTCATGTCAAATTTACATAAATATCAAGAATAAGATTTTACCACTTGCACCATGTATTCTTACCTCAATTGACACCAAAGAATTTCTGAAAATGACTTATGAAATAAAATGATATTCCTTCTCAAAAGTACGAGTGTGTATAGACGTGTGAAATACTAATAATCTATATGAGTAAAGAAGAATTTGTCATTTTAGTGCTCTCATATCCACTTTTATACTCAGAACATGTGACTATTGAGATTCTAATGTAATTTGATGTTAATTAGGTTTCATGTGGGTTAATTACTATATCACTAATGAGCTTAATAAATTTTAAATTATTAATTTTCAATTTTCGTTTCATTTCCCCAGGTAACCGTATGAATTAAATTGAAAATGAAAGTTTTGTTTTTATTATTTTATTATTATCTATATTAATAAAATATTAAATGCTAACACTTTTCTTTTTATTAGAATAACTCGGACATGACTAATCCAAAATTATTTTTTCTTGAACCCAAATTATATTATTTAATGCGAGCTACAAAATAAGTATAATATTTGATATATTTCATCAACTTCTAAAAATACTTAAATATTCGACTCAAATAAGATTTACAATAATTCTAAGTACATTCAAGCAAAATAAATCATCAACTTTTGGACTTTAGTGTGACGACAAATCTAACATGAATTATTTCATTTACTAAGTGACCCATATTAAGTTTAGGCCCATATGATAAATAATAAAAAATTCGGGGTGTTACAACTTATAAGCTTATACACAGGAAATTTGTACTCTCTTTGGAAAGTATACATCAAGAACTATAAAAAAAAGTAACTTATAAGCTTAGCCAAACATGATCTCCAGTAAGGCTAAATGTCAATTTTAATCAACCCATGAAGCTCTCGTACATATGAAGTCTTGCCAACCTTCAATACTAGTGTCACCGCTTCGAAGTGAAGGAGAGGTCCCCATTTCGATAGCCACCCTATTAGCAATTCTAATCCAGAATCAAGGTATTATTGCGAGGGGTTCAAAGTAGTATTTTATCCAGAATCAAGGTATTATTGCCGACCGGAGCTTGCTTTCTCCCTTCTGGGACTCGAAATGGGTAGAGATGGAAGTTAAAACATCTGGGGAAAATGGGTGGAAATGGAGATTTTAATTGAGCCGGCTGGAAGAAATTTTCTTCCTTTTGTTTATGTACTTTGGGGAAAGTGGGTGAAGAGAGAGGGAGAGAAGCCTTTGTTTTATTAATTAATCAATTTCCCTCCATTTTGCATCTGGTGACTTTATTCACTTTTTAATGAATTAAATAATGCACAATCACCAATTTTCAAATCCTTGTATTCATTCGGTCAATACTCCCTGTCCATCTAGCATAATTGTGTATATATATATACATACACTTACAAACCTAGAGGAAAGGGGGATCAATTTTTGCCGCAGACTGGAGGAGAGAAAAAAAGGGAAGCCATTATTATTATATATTCTTACACATACATTCTGCAAAAAGAGGGATTTGACACAGACGGAGAGAGAAGAGAATTGGAGGGTTGATTTGCTGCTCAAATTAATAGATATACAAGCAGAGAACTTTAGGCAACTTTGGTGGAATTAATTGGGTGCTATCTGCCAATATCATTGAATTATATACAAACACGACGGAGACTCTAGACAAGACGGAAACACGAAAAAAAGGGGCAGCAATTTTATTAATCACGTTCCCCCAATAAATCGGGTGATGTCTTCTATAATAATATCTTGTTTTTCTCCTATTAATATGCGTAGTTAAATTTATTTTCAGGGCGAACAATGTAACTGATTTGGGATCTTTATTTCTTTTATTTGAGATTATTGTTCTTTTATATTTTATGTGTGAATTTTAATTATGTTTTTAATGTTTTGAATTTTCTGGCGAAATATTCAATGATTTCGTGAACAATAATTACGTAGAGATGCGGATTCTTGTTTAGACCACATATTAAAATTTGGTAAATTAATATAACGTGTAGAGATACCTATATTAATTACTGCGGTCCTATAGAAATTCTTAGAACTGTTATTTCGTTTAATTAAATTTAATTTGCATAGAGATATGAAATTGAACTAATTAAATAGGCTCAACGAGAACTCGAGAGGGTTAAGTTGAATACAATAGAAGAATTCGACTGAACATTATTTTAATTTTATGAATCTCGATATTAGAAATAAAGGTGACCAATAGGTGAAGTTGTTTCACCCTAATCTCCATTTATTATTTGAATTCTCACTAATTTTCTGTTGCATTCCCGAGATTTTTAGTAGTTAGATTTAAAAATCACCGTCAATCAAATTTATTTTATTTATTTATTTATATTCATCAAATAGGAGTTAGGAATAATAAATTGAGTACTAAAGTATAGTCCTCGTGGAAACGATAATTCGGACTCAAAAGATCTACTTTACTACTTGTTACGATCCGTCCACTTGCGGGATAAAATTGACAACAATCATAGAAGTATAATTGTAAATACGTTGGATTCTCATTCTTTGGCATAAGTGAGTTTATGAAATGGTATACTTGTCCTTGAATTCTGAAAGTATATATACATTTATTATTCTTACACAATTCTTTATCATACTTAACACCAAACGAAGTAAACGCAAAATGATTGTTGTAACTACGAACAACTTTTTTAAAAGTTACAGCCTCTTCAGATGTAGAAGTAAATAAGTCATATATTCAGGAGGCATATCATGTAACTGTAATTTGAACTTTCCATCACAACAATAAAAGCCTTTGCTTTCTCTATAAAATTTTGTAGCACCACAATGACAACAAATTTTAGAAGGTGGCAAAACATAAGGTTGATGAGGAATGCTTCCTTTACCAATTTGTTTTGCATATTCAACACTCACACTCACATCCCCTGATTCAAAATGTTGATTTGCATCACCTATAAAAAGAAAGAAAAAAAATTGAAAAAAGGAAATTGTAAGGAAAAAATGCATCCCGTATAAATAAACTAAATATAATTGTATATAAAAAATTACTAAACAAGCGCTATAAAGAAAAAAAACTCTTCGAATAGTTCGCAAAGATCAATTGATCTCTCTGAACTGTACGGAGAGACCATTCTTCCCTACACACTCTCCGCACAGTGCGGAGAGATGTGCCATCTCTCCTCACTTTTCGGAGTTTTTTTTGGAAAAAAACAGCTAATAAGATGAAAAACTATAAACAGAAAGAAAAAACAACTTGAAAAGAGGATGTATATAAATAAACTAAACATAATTATATATAAAAAAATAATGACCAAATTTAGTTTATTAGAAGCACTCAAACAATTGCTAAAAAAAATATCTCTGTACATTTAGAAGAAATCAGCTGATCTCTTCGAACTATGCGGAGAGCTTCGAACTCATGGTGCCATCTCTCCACACAGTGCCATCTCTCCACATTATTCAGAGATTTTTTTTGAGAAAATCTAATTAAAATAAATACAAGCACAAAAAAAAAACATAAGCACTATATAAACCTGTTAAACCGAAGGTCCTTAAACGTCGATCATAATGAAGTGTAGAATGAGGTTGCACTTCATGCATCAGATTTTTCAGTTGAGGATTCTCAATGCACGTCTGCTTTCTCTTTCTTTCGCAAGATCGTCTATTCTTAAACCAATCACCAACATTTTTTGCAGAAATAATAGGATTATGTGGCGATAAGGTGGATACTATATGTAGAGTTTCTGCATTATTTGGATTTTTATTTCCTCCATCAAATATGCATCGAAGAAAATCAACCTCTGTAGATGTAGTTATCCAACGTTCCTGTCTTCCCATAATCGTTTTGGCAAACAGCAAGTGAAAAAGCAAAAAAAAAAAATTAAAAAAAATTAAAAAAAACCAAACGAACCACACTCGTTAAGATGGAGTTTGAGAGTAGTATCAGGAATGTGGTCCAAGAAAAACAGACGATTAACTGAAATTCCACAGCCATAGCACCAAAACGAAAAAAGATATGGAAATGAAGATATCAATCAAAAGGAAAATAAGAAGTATGGTCATGAGCATAAGGAGTATGATTAGCATGGTTGTCGGCATGGTTGCAAGTATGAATATTGTCGAAGCAAAGAATAAAAAAAGAACGGGAAAAAAATTAGCATGAACAGAAAAATGAGATTACTTTACTGTTGTGTCTACAGTGCTATCTCATTCACGTTTTTAATAGAAATTAGAAAAAAACTCTTTCGTTTATCAAAGATGTATTTTCAATTTCGAAGAGGTCCGACCTAGATGTCTTTAAATCACCAAATTGTAGATTTTCGCTTCGTATTTATTCCGATGCATTTATGCTGAAGGCAACCTGAAGCTTAAATGATTAGCTTCTCATTTATCTTATGGCTTATATATAGGTGGAGAATAACAATTTTCAATCAAAAGAACATCGGAATCCTTGAAGAATAACATTTTTCTATCGAAAGAACATCGTAATCCTTTTAATCACTATCTATCTTACAAGAATTTGGCTTCAAAAAACAAGAAGATCTCTAAAAGAGAAAAAATCGTACTGAATTTGGTAAAGAAAAATCTATCGTTAACACTAAAAATTATTATTCATTTTTTAGATAAAAAAAGATCCTAGAAAATATGTGGTTGAAATTAATATGAGACTTTTAAAGATAAATTATAAGTTATCATTAAAAGGTTGAGTTTTTCATTTTTTGAGGAAAATATTATGAGAAACTATAACTGCTTGTTGGAAGAAATTATAAGTTAGTGAAATTATAAAAACAAGAATGAGGGATGGTTTGGTGATGGCAATTAGGCGAGATTGGGATGGCAACCATCATCCTTTCCCCATTGAAAATTTTTGGAAGACGGGGTAATGTGGGGATTAAAAGGTTCTCATTTAACACTCCAATTGTAGGATTATAATGAAAGATCAATTTTTGGATTTCTCTTAAATTTTTTAATTTTATTTTCATTTAAAAAAATATATAAAATGAAAAATATACAAATATAATAAAAAATTGAAGTGGGTTTGAAAAATTTGGGAAGGGGCTCATGTTCCCCATCCTTGCATCATTTACTATTTGAGTGGGGATTTTTTTTTTCTTTTTTTTTAACGAGGTGTCTCAGCTTACGACAGACTATATCCTCGTCCCTAAACTTCCGGCCCCTCAGCAGTTTATGGAGGTAAATCGCGGGATGTGCCCAAATTGACCAGGGTTCGAACAGCCTTTATACTCCTGACCCCAAGGGAGCCTCCTCCATGGTTATTACATCACCAAACTGCTCCAACCCTTCCTCTGATTATTACAACACTCAGCTGCTTCAACCAGGAATCGAACTCCCCACGCTGGGGTTGCGAGTCCCGCACTGTCCTTCCTTTGCCAACTTGGATGTGCCCCGGGAGGCGGGGATTCTTTGTAATGTACGAGGTGGGACAAGATGGATAATTTTGTCATATCTATAATGGATAAGTGAGTAATAATTATATGCATAGTAATAAAATTCAACTTGGACATTGACGGGCAAGTCAGTGGATCATCAGTCACAAATTTAACTGATATATCACTGATCGGATGATTGGGTTATTGTTTAAAAAATTAATTAAAATTTTCAAATAAATTTATTCTATCACCAATTATTTTTGTGTCTTTAAAATTATTATATTATAAACGCATTTGTTACCAATTCTTTTTTATAATTTTGTAAATATAAAATTTCTAATAAAATTTATATTGTTTGCATTTTCCTTATGAACAAACATTTTTTTTTACTTGCCATTTGAAAACTTTTACGTGGCACCGTCACATCTTAGCTAAGACCCTGTTCAGTAGTAATTATGAGAATCGATCTTTTGACTGTTAGAAAAAAATGAGTCCTACAATAAAAAAATAACGGCTAGAATAGTGAAATAATAGTAAAAAAATAAATTTTTTAGAGCTGAAAAATTATTACCGAACGGGTGCTACAACTAATTTTTTTTTCTAAATAGCAACAAATTCATAAAAATTCGTTTTATACGATAAAAAAGCTAGTAATATATTTTTACCTTCGCTTAGACTAATTTCTTGAAAATTATTTGAAGTTAACCGCGATTATGATTTGTAAATACACAAGATGGGTTTGACTCTACGTGGTATGCTATTCACTTCTAGAAGTTGGAGATCAAGGATCAAAACGCAAATATCCAAAAATCCCGGTCCGACCGTCAATCGGGCCAGTTGATTATCCAAAAAACTAGGTTTAGTTGGTTCTTGACCATGTGAATGGACACTGGTCCGATGAGCTGAAAATGCCCCAAATTAAACACCTTTGCCTCCTCTTCTCATCCGCCAATTACAGCCACCACCACCCACTTCTCCGCAGCAAATCTTTTACCTCCTCTTTTCCATTTTTACCTTATCTCAGAAAACCCAGCTTCATTACTGAATTTCCACTCCTCCCCACGTTGTCTTGTTATTCCAAGAAACCACGTAATAGCAACAGCTTACGTTCTTTTCATAGGAAAAAAAGTGTCTTGAGAGATACTCGAGGAGAGAGAGATAAAATTAGTGATAAAGGTGGTTCCTTGGCAATGGAAGAAACAACTGGTAGAGCCAATAATGCTGGCGAGTCTATCGATTTTAACAGAAAAAGGGCTGAGGGTAGAGATGGAAGTGACGGGTCCAAGAAGAATTTGCAACTTAAAGTCCGGAAGCTCAATCCTGTGAATACCATTTCCTATGTTCAGGTAGGGAAAAGAAGGTTTCAAAATTGCTTATTTATTTATTTATTTATTCTGTTATTGGCGTCGATTGAATGTTAATTATATTTTTCCTTGTTTTTTATTGGTTGAATTTGCTTGCTCGGCTTAATTGACAGTGGTTTGACTTATATGGCATTTACTGTTTCTTTGGCTATTTTAATCTGTTTTTGGATATGGGTGCATTTGTTCCTTTTCTCGCAACATTTTTGTTTCAGTGATTTCAATGAATAATGGTAGAGCTCTGTTATTGTTATATAAATCCCTTTTTATTTATTTATTTATATATTTTGAATTTTATGATATGAAATGATGTGACAAGAGTTAAGTATCAGGATTTTGCTTACCACCTTCATTTTCTATAAGGCTGTTCAATATATAGGGTGGTTAATTAATCAAATTCTTGACTTTTTCAATTTTTAGTTAGTGGTTTTTATGATCTATAATCTACCCTAGAAGTGGGTTGCTAGAAGGGATTCAGTGGTTATTCCTCAACATAAAATTTAGCTGATTCTCTATATCTTCTGAGTTTTGGGTTTATGAAGTATTATTGAACTGGTCTTGTCTCATCTCACTTGGAGCAAACTATGCAGAGCTGCTAAATCTCTTTTTGACCTGGGGATTCTGGGGTTTCAGTCTCATGCTGCCAAATATAGTGTAGAAAATCATGTTATTGAAAACGGCTACTTGGGAGAAAAGGTTGCATATTTTGCAAAAGTAGATGCTAAATTATAATCTTTCCTTAATCTTTACATTTTTTAAACTGATATTTTATATTTATCTTGCAGATTCTTGGAACTGGTATGGATACCCAGGATACATCACCATCGGTGCTCCTATTTTTTGACAAACAGAGATTTATATTTAATGCTGGAGAAGTAAGCATTACTTGGTTATAGCTCTTCACTTTGTAGGATGCATGTGAAATTTTTCATTCTTTAAACTTTTGATATTGCACTGCAAGAATCTTCAGTGAAAGGTTATCTGTAAATGCAAAGTTACCTCCAAAAACCTGAAATGAAAAATACAGACAGAAAGGTCCAAAATCAGGAATATGAAAAAAGAGGGAAGGAAAAGTGATGCCCCCAAAATAGGCCAAGTTTACATCGGACTCGAAGTAAGAATTCATTTTCCTTTTTACCCAAAAGAAACAAAAAACACATAGGAAAAAATAGATTGGGTAGGATCTCTTTCTATTGGTAAATCATTTACAAATGACAATATTGTGGGTGTAGCTTAAGCTGAAGTTTATAGTTAGGTTATGGGCCAAATAATATCACATAATCAAAGTTCATACATGGGATAAATTTGAAAATATCTCTTTATTCACATTTATGATTTCTCATAAAATTTTGATTTTGCATTTTTTTGAGGAAAGGTATTTGGTTTTGGATTTTACATATAATATACATTACATTTATTCCAGGGATTGCAACGCTTCTGCACTGAGCATAAAATCAAATTGTCGAAGGTATCATGCCCATAAGCTCTCTCTTCTACTCTGTTTTTCTTTCTTACTGCTAAGGAAGAACAATTTAATTATCATTATTTTAATAAAATGTATTCCAGATTGATCACATATTTCTCTCACGTGTTTGCTCGGAAACTGCTGGTGGACTCCCTGGTTTGCTCCTAACCACTGAATGAACTTAGCAACACGTTTCTCATTATATTACATAAAATTGATTTTATCACTAAATTTTCGTACAATAGATAAATGCTAACTTATTTTCTTGCAGGTCTTTTGTTGACTCTGGCTGGTATTGGAGATGGAGTTTCTGTAAGTGTTGGTTTGATTAAGTGCATCTTATAAAAATTCATGGATAGGATTTGAACAGTAATTTTTGAAATCATAATGTTCTTCTTAACTCTTCCGAAGGTCAATGTATGGGGTCCCTCAGATCTCAAGTATCTGGTTGATGCAATGAAATCTTTCATTCCCAATGCTGCTATGGTATATACCCGTAGCTTTGGTCCAATGCAAGATGTTAATGGCACTGGTATTTCCATGTCTCGGAAGTTTGACGGTCCTTTCGTTCTTATTGATGATGAAGTTGTCAAAATATCCGCAATAGTCCTTCGACCTGGTCACTCAGAAGTGAATGAACCAGGAATGGGTCTGGATGAGACAAAGCCTGCAAATCTTTCTGTTATTTATATTTGTGAATTGCCTGAAATAAAGGGAAAATTTGATCCCCAAAAAGCCGCTTCTCTTGGATTGAGACCTGGGCCGAAATATCGTGAACTGCAACTTGGAAATCCCGTGAAGTCAGATTGTGAAAATATTATGGTAGATTAGCAAGCCTTTCAGAATTTTGCTTTGCGCCTTTAGTATGTTCAAATTATTTCTTCCTATAAATTGCTGCACTTGTGATGTACAGGTTCACCCAAGTGATGTACTTGGTCCTTCCGTTCCTGGCCCTATACTGCTGCTAATTGACTGCCCAACGCCATTGCATTTGAAACAGTTGTTGTCTGTACAAAGTCTCATTCCTTATTATGCAGATACGGCTGGGAATGTACAGGAAGGTTCCAAAACAGTGCATTGTGTAATTCATCTAAGTCCTGCGTCTGTCACAAACACAAGCGAATATCAATTATGGATGTCAAAATTTGGTGCAGCTCAGCATATTATGGCGGGGCATCAAATGTCTGTTTCTTCGAAAAATTACTATCTTTATTTTCACAATATGGTTTATTGCTCGTTCCTTGAGAAATTAGAACTGAGGAGTCTCATATTTTGCAGGAAGAATGTTGAGGTGCCAATTTTAAAAGCTGGTGCTAGAATTGGAGCACGACTTAACTACTTGTGTCCTCATTTCTTTCCAGCTCCTGGATTTTGGTCCCTTCAGCACCTGACGTGTTTATCGTCTGGCTTGAAGGCTTCAAATAATGTATATTGTGGAATTATATTTTATATTTCAGTTAAAATGATTTGATCAAATCACGTATTTGTGTATAATTTTATCAATCTTGGTTGTGTCCTCTCAGGATCTTATGCCAGGCATTGGTGAAACGGTTTCGGCACAGAATCTTCTCAAGGTGTGAATTGTCATCTAAGTCATTAGTTTCCTAGAATGACTATCAAAATAACCCTAATGATATCTGCAATTTGCAGAACATAATTACCATTTTAGCTTACGTGCCACTATTTTATCATCCATTATCAAGCTGTCAATTGAATCTTTACTTGGAGCTGTTATTTTATCATATGAACAATGAGATAATGCAAAGACGAATGCTTTAGCCGCTTTTTTTGTTTTGAAAACAAATAGTGATGTAGGTATCATCAATTTGATTTCTCCTTTCACCTTTTTATCATAATGATTATAAGTGGTAATAAAGAGTTGTTAAGAATATTGAAAGTTTAATATGAAATCCTTTTGAAGAAGTGCATGGAAAGTGGAATCTTAATAGTTACTAGCTCTAGTTGTTCTTCTATTACTGTGTATGTTATTTATGTTGATATGCTGATGTCTTTAGTTTGTTAGTGGCTTTAAAAACCCTCTTATCACACATCAGACTTTATATAATGTGCACATGTTTTATGAACATCTATTACTTGTTGCCTTTATCAATATTTTTTGGGTCACCCAAAAGAAACAAAAAACACATAGGAAAAAATAGATTGGGTAGGATCTCTTTCTATTGGTAAATCATTTACAAATGACAATATTGTGGGTGTAGCTTAAGCTGAAGTTTATAGTTAGGTTTATGGGCCAAATAATATCACATAATCAAAGTTCATACATGGGATAAATTTGAAAATATCTCTTTATTCACATTTATGATTTCTCATAAAATTTTGATTTTGCATTTTTTTGAGGAAAGGTATTTGGTTTTGGATTTTATATATAATATACATTACATTTATTCCAGGGATTGCAACGCTTCTGCACTGAGCATAAAATCAAATTGTCGAAGGTATCATGCCCATAAGCTCTCTCTTCTACTCTGTTTTTCTTTCTTACTGCTAAGGAAGAACAATTTAATTATCATTATTTTAATAAAATGTATTCCAGATTGATCACATATTTCTCTCACGTGTTTGCTCGGAAACTGCTGGTGGACTCCCTGGTTTGCTCCTAACCACTGAATGAACTTAGCAACACGTTTCTCATTATATTACATAAAATTGATTTTATCACTAAATTTTCGTACAATAGATAAATGCTAACTTATTTTCTTGCAGGTCTTTTGTTGACTCTGGCTGGTATTGGAGATGGAGTTTCTGTAAGTGTTGGTTTGATTAAGTGCATCTTATAAAAATTCATGGATAGGATTTGAACAGTAATTTTTGAAATCATAATGTTCTTCTTAACTCTTCCGAAGGTCAATGTATGGGGTCCCTCAGATCTCAAGTATCTGGTTGATGCAATGAAATCTTTCATTCCCAATGCTGCTATGGTATATACCCGTAGCTTTGGTCCAATGCAAGATGTTAATGGCACTGGTATTTCCATGTCTCGGAAGTTTGACGGTCCTTTCGTTCTAATTGATGATGAAGTTGTCAAAATATCCGCAATAGTCCTTCGACCTGGTCACTCAGAAGTGAATGAACCAGGAATGGGTCTGGATGAGACAAAGCCTGCAAATCTTTCTGTTATTTATATTTGTGAATTGCCTGAAATAAAGGGAAAATTTGATCCCCAAAAAGCCGCTTCTCTTGGATTGAGACCTGGGCCGAAATATCGTGAACTGCAACTTGGAAATCCCGTGAAGTCAGATTGTGAAAATATTATGGTAGATTAGCAAGCCTTTCAGAATTTTGCTTTGCGCCTTTAGTATGTTTCTCTTAATTTAGGATCTGATATGTTGGGCAAATGTTTATATATACTTGTTTGAAGTCAAATCATTTTTTATCAACATATTTCATAGGACCCACAAGTACTATATAATTATCCACCTTCCTTTTCTATCTATTTATAAACACTTGCAAAATGCAGAATATCTTTGACTTGAGATAAATTTAGGTGTAGCTTCCACTAGTATCAGTTTACTTCTAAATTTACCAGAACTAATGGCTTCATTTTTATTGAAGAGTAGAATCTCTTAATTTTAAATTATAAGATAAACTCAAATACAAACCACGTTCCCAAATCCTAAAGCCCAATGCACCTTTACTTGTTCTTTCTGTATGTTACACACAATTTTTATTCTATGAGTTCCTTTCTTAATCATTACTGGATACCTATGGTACTTCATCCACCCAAGGGGTTTCAACTATTGATTTTGTTTGTCAAGAATTATGAAATCGATATTATTAATTGAGCTGAAGTGAAGCTCGTGATCAAGTTCTTTTCTCCTTTTGCAGGCAACGTTCGAAGATGGCCTGGTGGACGAGGCTATTGCAAAAAACCACAGCACAACAAAAGAAGCTGTGGAAGTAGGCGACTCAAGTGGGGTGTATCGCATAATCCTCACTCACTTCAGCCAAAGATACCCTAAAATCCCGGTATTTGACGAAACTCACATGAATAACACGTGCATTGCATTCGACTTGATGAGTGTCAACTTAGCAGATTTGCCTCTTCTTCCAAGAGTATTGCCATACCTCAAACTCATGTTTAAAGATGAGATGATCGTTGATGAATCTGAAGACGTTGATTTGGTAACTGCTGCTCTTTAAATTAAGATAATGTAAAGGGGGACGTGCATATTTATTTCATTTTATTATTATTATTATTATTATTATTATTATTATTATTTTTTTTTTAAACAACCTCAAAACTCAAAAGTTTAAGGAATTTGACAAAGTTACCCTACAAAGTACACAAACAATTTTGTATTTAAGGAGTTCGGACTTATGAAATTGCAGATGGATGGTTGATGGTGCTGTGGAAACATCCTAAATTCGTTATTTTAATTGATTCTGTCATTTGTATTTTATCAACTTGCTGCCATTTTAAAAGAGAATAATGTTATTTGCAATCATTCAATGTCAGAATCGTCCTATGTGGAAATTATCACATTAATGCATCGAATCACTAACTATCACATAGGGCAACTATAGTAGTAAATGACTGTAAATAGCATTATTTTTAAAAAAAAACATGGGATCAAGATGACATCACAGTCAACTTTCGTCTCACTTTGGAATGCAATGAAACAAGAGTTATGCTACATGTATACGATGTCATAGAGTCACTTTTCATCCCTTGTATATGTAGCTTTATTCATGAAACAATAGTTCAAGGCACAATATTCATGAAGGAACATACAGAAAAATCCAATTTTTAATTAGAGATAATACGGCTATGCAACAATTCTTCTGTATCCCGTTAGCCGTAGCCTAAATATGTTGAATTCTATGTTTAGCACTTGGGAGATTATGTAGCCTATTGACGTACTCGACAAATTGTAATAAGGATTTTACGTATTAGTCTATGTTTAACACACGGGTAAAATGATGTAGTCCTAACGTAGAAGTTTGACAATTTGTGGGTTTTTTTCCCTCATTCTACACACTGAATAAATTTTTGGGTTGAAGCAATAGTCTGCAAATCACGCTAGACTGATAAATCTTGTTTGTCTAGAATGTGTCAAAAAGTACAAACTATTAATGAGTAAATATTTTCATTGCTCTATGCTTCAAATATGACGTAAAATATAAAAATCATCGCAACTTATGGAGGGGACTTTTTGGTTATTTGAAAGTATGTTAACATTAGGGTTATGCTACGTGTATACATTCGGTGTACGCGATGCTTTATACCATCTCACATGGAGGGCGGTCCACACGTAATTTATTATGCATGAGCTCACATGTGAGGGCGTGGTAATGTGTGTGTACACGGAAAGTGTACACATAGCATAATCCTAAAATTTATGCGCGGAATGGTATTTCTTAAACAATGTATATAGTTATAAGATAGTAAAATGGTGAGCTGTGTAGACTGCAGTTTGCAAATATGAACTTATATTGAATGAATTGTTTAGAATGAATTGTCTACAATTAGCTGATACAACTTTAAACTAATCGGATGATATCTCTTAATTAATACTCTCAAAGAAAATTGAAGGTCACACTTACACTGCTGAGACGGGAAAATTAGATAATTTTGTATATTGTTTCCTCGAGGCTTGGTTAGTGATTTAACTAAGTTTATAGGAAAGAAATTTTCTTCACAAAACTCAAACTTTTTTATTTGAAAGATCAAATGCCAAGAAAGAGAGAACAATTTGAGAAACTTCTAATTAATTACAACTCGTATTTAAAATAGTAAATAAAATCTAGATAATAACTAACTCTTAGATAACGACTAATTTTAGATAACGAATAAGAATAAAAGATAAAAGATAATTCAAAACGAAATTAAAATACTAATCTACTTAAAGTTAAAAAAATTATCCAATATAACGAAAAATGCATTTTCAGAGCTTTCATTGGGCCTTTTTCCACTCAAAATAGACAAAAATATCTCCAAGAATGGACACTTCGAATTTTTTTTTTTTCCCAACCCCGATCCCACTTTTGCACGAACTCTTCTTCGTTTTATGTTGCATAAGTTAATCATATAAATTCTTAATAATTTCAAGGCAAGTATGTGAGACGGAAGACTGAAGTTGGTTAACCTTTTAGTGATTACTATGTTAATTAGTGTATTTGGTTAATTTTCATCAGTTGTCACTCGAGACTGCAGATTATAGATTAAATTAAGAGAGGATGTTTAGTTTATTTTTCCTTTTTTCTAGTTTTGGATGATTAAACGTTCAGTTTACTTAAATATGTTGGTCAATAAAGTGTTAATTCAATGTTCGATCATGGATGAAGACTCGAAAGTTCTTACTCATGAAGACTAAAGTGGCCTAAAATAGAAAAAAAATGATATATTCAACCATTGCTACTTTATACAAATTGGTTAAATTCGATTGGGGTTTTGTACAAATAGATGTGTCCTACCTTACAAAATACATATTATATTCACAATAAATAAAAAATTTTAGGGTACAAATTATATCGTTCAAGTTTATATAACTAACATAGAACCATAAAGCTAAGTCACTTTTGGAGGTTTTCTAGAAAATACACAGAAAATTAAGGGACTCAAAAGTAAATTAAAAATATCAACTAGCCCCTTAAACCCAAAGGCTCTATCCTATTATAGCTGGGAATCATATTGTCTGTTATTTACAAGTAGAGCATCAAAAAGGTATGTAGAAACCCCTAACCCACACTCACATGGGCCTAAAGGGTAGGCTATGGTTGGATGATTAAAAAAGAGGAAAATATAGAGTGGGCAAAATATTCTTAAAGTCGTTTTATATGTACGAGGGCGTTAACACGTCCAATTACACACCTCTCACAGTAGGGGGAACCCCTCATTTTTTTATTCGACGCGGGCCTCCCTTCTTGTAAGGGACGTGTAATCGGATGTGTCAACGCTCGGATACAAATAGCAAAATTCATATTTTTATTCAATGCTATAATAGAAACCCATTTAATTCAATTATTTGCACGTCATTATCAATTAATTAAAGTCTCTGGAATAATCAATTCATTATCAATCACTATTTACTATTAGACATCTTAATTACTCAATAATAAACCACTCTACATGAAGTAGAGTTTGGATTTTAACTAAATTATTGCATTATAATTACCTCACTATTGCACTTTTTATTCATTGCTCTAGCCCCCACCCAACTTCAGCCCATCAATATGCCTATTGACGCTTTGCCAAATAGGGACTTGAGAGGCTAGAAAGAGTAGGGACGTAGGAGAAATTATATTGCATGCTAAGGGATTGTTTGCAAAAAATGTATTTTGCAAGCATGCTATGATGGAAAATTTGTGGTTGAAAAATAAGGAAAAGTTTTGATTTACGTATAATATCATTTTATTGAAAAACGTGTAACTGAAATAAGGTCAAATCACTGATCAAAAATGCATTTTGATGAAAAAAAGAGTACTCAAACAAGGGATAAACATGCACCTAATGTTTCTCGTTACTGTCCCTATATTTTCTACTCATTGCTGCATTAGTAAAAGTAAATTTACTTTATTAAATAATTCTGGAGGAAAAAAGTTAAAAAAAAAATAAAATCTTCTGTGTAAAGAATTTATGGCCCTTTAATGAATGGAACAAATGGCGTGGGCAAGAGGAGTATAGGAATTGCCAGCCAAGATGGTACCCTATTAACATGCAATGCGGCTGTTTTCTGGGATCCCAGTGAATTACTTCAGCCTATCATCACATCTCGAGAGCACAAAAACGTCCTGTTGTGGTCCAATAAGATTGCCTCGTCTATTTGCATCGCATCACTTTTTTCTTCGACCCAGAACAGCTACCAATTCTAGACCTACTTCCATAAAATGATTCATGTTGCCGTCTTTCAAGTTTCAACATCCCCATAATCAGCAGGCAATGAATATACTGGGAGCACAAAAATCCTTCCATTCAAATAGAACAATTCACATTTAACCTTAGACAAAGTGAATAATTTAGAACAAAGCATGCAATACTTAATTTATGTGCTCAACAGTGGAAGGTCAAAACATTATTCAGAAAGGTACTTGCAGCACTTTCCCCACCATGCAATAAAGTAATTGAACCCACCTACCTACTGTCAAAGCCAATAAATCACGAGGAAACGTGATTTACTAACAAAATTACAGCATGTAGATTTTCAGTACCAGTTCTCACAGTGCCTAATGCATCCTGCCCATGTTCATGAAAGATAAATGGCATAAGATACGGATAGAAGAGTCAATACACACTTCCAATTTCTCTACATTACACTGTGAATTGTCAAAAGTAGCTGTATCATGACTTGTACATGTTTTCTACCTACTAAATGACACCATATAAACTCCAGATTAACTGCCTCGACTTTATCTCAAAGTGATGTTCCTCAAGAAAGCAACCAAGTTATATCTGTACAATTGAATCTCTTAGAAAGCTACTTTTTCCTTCAGTACCATTTCCAAACGTTGCAACAGTTTCATGGAGTTCAGTGGTGAAAATCCCCATTGGAGCTTGGTGGATGAAGAAAGGGAACACATAAACTTATCTCGAATATTTTCATTTGGAAAAAGTGAGGTTGATTCTGAAATCATTTCAGCAAGAACATCTTGTATGTCAGCAGCTTCATTCCCGCTTTGGCCTATTTGCCCCGAGACGCCATGGACACGTTCTCCCGTCCGTGCCTCTTTATCTCCACTTCTTCTATATAATTGCTTAGCCTCACTCCATCGCAGCGAAGGTAACATCTTCTCTATAGCAGTCACAAGCGACTTCATTTTTGCAGGGTCTGCAAGCAGTAGGATCCATGCATGGAAACAACCAGATTGTACAGAGATGGGATGTATCAAGGCTACAATTGGTGAAATTCGAGCCATCTTAGCTTACGGAAAAATGCTTTTCACCACACATGGAGATTACAGAATCCGCGTGTGGGATATTTCATCGACAGAAAACTTTAGACCAAAGAAGACAATCACCTTGCCTAGAAGAAGGTCGTTCTTCTCCTATCTGAAGAAGGATAATGAGAAACATAGAGATTCTATCTCATGCATAGCATACAATCACAAGGAGAAGCTCTTGTACACAGGATCATGGGATAGTACAGTTAAGGTGTGGAAAATCTCAGAAAAACGAAGTGTTGACTCATTTGTTGCTCATGAAGGTCATGTCAATGCAATTGTCTTAAACCAAGAAGATGGATGTGTCTTCACTTGTTCTTCTGATGGCAAAGTGAAAATATGGAGAAGAGTTTTTAGGGAGAGCTCACATATTTTGACAATGACACTTAAGTTTCAACCATCTCCAGTTAATGCCCTATCTTTATCTCTCTCTCCTGACGAATGCATCCTCTATTCGGGCTCATCAGATGGACTGATAAACTTCTGGGAAAAGGAAAGAATGTCTAGTAGGTATAATCATGGAGGATTCTTGCAAGGCCATCATTTTGCAGTTCTTTGTTTAGCAACAATAAAAGATCTAATCCTTAGTGGTTCAGAGGATGCAACCATACGAATATGGAGGAGAGAAGATGGGAACTCCTTCCATTCAAGTCTTGCAGTCATTGATGGTCACCATGGACCAGTCAAGTGCTTGTCTGCTGCTCTAGAAACCGAGGAAATTATGACGGGTTTGTTGGTCTATAGTGCCAGCCTAGATCAAACTTTTAAGGTATGGAGAGTCAGAGTTCATCCCGCAGAGAAAGAGAAACTGAAGAAATCAGAAGCAAATGATCAGCACTCAAAAATTACAGATTGCAAACTGAGTCCGGTGTTATCACCTTCATGGGTAGAGAAGAAGATTCAGGGCAGTGATTTCTGAACTAGAAGAAGTAATAACTATAATAGCAGAATCACTACGTATAATTCATCAATATCCAACTTAAGAAGATATAATCTATCTTTGATGTTTTATATCTCTCAAGTATTTGAATTTTATAGTAGATATCACTAAAAGTAGAGAGTAGCTTTTCTTGGCAATATATAATCACCGCCATGCTCTCTCTTTGGAAGAGGAACTGGAACTGAAAAAAGGATCCTTCCAAAGGCTACATGCAACTTCTTTGTTCTTAGTCTATAATCTGAGCACCAGCAATTACAGTGAGTAAAACATGTACTTCCTGTACTAAAGGAAATTTACATTAATATCAACATATCAAGTCAAAAGCTAGGAATTTCTGCAGTGTTCAAGTTTGTCTCACAACAAAGCCCATACACATCTCTTTCAATTAATCAAAACCTGCCCATTATAATGTCTTTTTTCTGGGTCCAACCACTGCAAGGCAATAGGGAACCATATCATTGGCAACTAACAACAAAATTGAATGTTTCCCCTCAGAAACTTCCTGGCCATGCTAGATAAAATACAAAGGAAGTTTGAGGTCAAGCCAAAGCATGGATTACTCTTGTGGCGATGCCAAATTGACAGTGCAGTAGAAATTGGTTGTAATCTTTGAAAGAAGGAAGCATTCTTCATTCGAGAGGCAAACAGCTTTTTCTTCCAGATCTGAAAGAAATAGCTTTCCTTGAAATAAAGAAGATCTAATGCAGGCCAATATCTTCACTTATAACATGCATAAGAATGAGCTCTAGATTACCTTTTATCGAAGCTTACACTCACCCCTTCAGTATCCCTAAATACCCTTCTAAGCGCAACCAAAAACAGCAGGAGAGGACATGAGGTTAGACTCTAATAACCATATGGTAATGGCCAAAGAGTGCGGTAAGCATTGACCAAGATGTTAGTTAGACCCGCTGATTCGCTTTTCAATATTGCAGCTGAAATAAACCACAATTGCGCAGCACACAAAGTGCAAACTAGATGAAACCTGTCCTGTAACATCCCAAATTTTAACTACTAGCTGTTGGATTTAAATTTAGGACTTGAGTATTAAAGTTTAATGACCTTATTGGTTATTGGCCTAGCCTAACAACCTTATTCATTATTGATCTATAGTTTGAGGACTTAAGTGGAAAGTTATTTGGAAGTTAGATTAAATCATGCATAAAACATATGTAAATATGTCAATTAGTCTTGATTAAATATGATTTATTGACTACATACATTATTCACACCACATTTCAAGCTAATGCAATTGATTTGACCACGAAAATCAAGGAAATTTATTTGACCACATGCATTATTTATACCAAGTTTAAGACAAGTGAATTGTTTTGACCACATAATTAAAGGGATTGATTGGACCATTTTCACGACAATCTACCATTTATGCATTGATCATGACTAACATCTAATCATTTTCCTTTCACTTTTCTACACATGGTCAAGAATTTACACTATAAAGAGAAGACAAACCCAATACTAAACTATCCTCAACATTTATTTACACACACTTTCTAGCTCTATAATTTTGTCTCTCTACCTCTCTCTCTTATCAGTTTAAATATAGTCGTACACTTATACAATCATACCTGAATAATCAACCCTACAAGTGGCTCAAGGACCTCTTTCCAACAATAACTCCTTTTATAATTTTGAATTGTCCATTGAAAATGTAAGTTGTGCTTTATATTTATGGTGGCTATTGTTTATGTATTAATATTTCTATGACTATGTTATGTTTTGGTCTATGTTAAGTATGTTTTATTAAGAATGGATCGGAGTTAATAGCGGTACACACGAAAATTTAGCAACATATAAGTTTAATCTAATCTTCGTGTGGGTTATGGTAGCAGAAGTTTCAATAATAAAATTATTATGTTGTTAAACTATTATTGCTTTCATTTGATTTTAAATATTTTAAAATATTTCTCGTTTCAAGTTAATTTATTAAACGTATTACATTATTTGAATTTTAGTAGTTCTTTAGAAATTTATATAATTGTGTTGATTATCACTTAAATTAGTTTTAGTTGATGATCTAGTAACCCTCGAATCATTAAGAATTCGGGTAAGAATTGTAGCAAAAGAGTTTAGAAGGCTTTTAAATTAGGACATGTCAATTAGGAATTAAAGAAATAAAAATAATAATTATCATAATGATAATAATAACAATAAATAAATAAAAATTCATATTTTAGCCACTTTTAATTTCCATATATTGTTAAATTTTTCTTGATTTGCGTATTTGAAAAATTGAAAGACTTTGTCAAAAGACTTAATATGTCTAAGGAGAGTTCGAGATTTAAGCGGTCCATTTGACCCCCTCCCTCGGAAGCCTTTTAGTTTATCGTCATTCAAATCAACAAGACGAAAAACAATATTGCAAAAAAAAAAAAAATACTAATAGTAATAATAGTAATATTCTATTTTAAGAAAAATTTCATTTTTAGAAATATCTATTCCAAGAATTTCTATTGAACCCCATTTCAAGAAATCCAGCTTTTAAAGAAACTCTTTTTTCCAAAAACTTCAATTTTACAAATTTATTCATAATAATAATAATAATAATAAATGTGAATTCTTTTCTCCTTCTCTTTACTTATTGTATTGTTATTCATTAAAACTATGGCACTTCAAGGTAGAAGAATTAATGTTGAGCAACCCCAACAACCTCAACAGTAAGAACAACTCCAATTTAACAAGGTTGACCCACAATTTGTTCGACAATTCCTCCCCATGATGCGTACCTTCACCCAAGTGATAGTGCCCAACAACCACCATGACAACTGACAACACCACCATCACCGCTACCACAACAACAAACACTGATAACGACAAAAGACGCATGGAATATAGTTGTTCTTGTCATGGAATTATTTAGGAATACCCTCAACTTTTGAGGATGGATTAGATCCCTTCGAAGTAAGGGTTGTTAGGGATAAAAAGGATCTTCAATCTCATTCTCTGCCCAGACTCCATAAAATTAACATACGCAACCTTTATGCTGAAAAAGGACGCCATGCATTGGTGGGACTCAAGCTCAAGATCAAGGGTCTATGGACATATGTGGACATGGAATCAATTCAATGAGGATTTTTTGAAGAAGTACTATCATACAAGTGTCCAAAATCAAAAGGAGTTTCCAAAACAAAATAAGGAAACATAATTTTTTTTTTGTCGGAGTTGAAGCATGCGTACGCATGCTTCATTTGGTGCGTATACATAGGTGCCTCAATTGAGCCTCGGAAGTTCAATTTCCCAATTGTACGTACGCAAGGTCTGCAAGCCCATGTGTACGCATAGTTCAATTTTTTAGGGGCCAAATTACAATTTGGTCTTCAAACTTTCTAAAGTGTATGTTTTGGTCCTTTTCCAAAATTTCTCGTCCCATTAGCTTCTCTTCAATTCCAGTTGACTCTTGGTATTCTTAACTCATTGTTCTGCAGTCCAGTTCAACTTTTGGATTATTGCATTCTAGTCCCCAAACTTTGTCCTTGATGCAATTGAGTCATTTTTCCCGCTTATTTTCTTTATTCTCATATCTTCCATTGATTGTAACCTACACACAACATATATATACACACACACACACACACATATATATATATATATATATACATGTATATATATATATATATATATGTATGTATATATATGTATATATATATATATTTCCTGTCCGAGTTGTTGACCATCCCCTGACCTGACCTCACACGGGAGGCCTCGCACCGAGTGATTCTCCCCCAAAAAAGTGTACATGAACGTAGAGGCAGGTCACGATTTGTGGTCAAGACGAATAATGTGGCGACGAGTGACTGAAGACATCTCGTGAAAGGCATGGCAAGGTTGGGGATGAGGACGGGGAATTATACAACCATCGAACCTTCTTTATCATGATTCGACCCAGAGCTGTTTAGCACCCCCATAAGTAGTTGTAGTTCTTCTGGTATCAGATACACTTATCAAACACCCCTAAACTTGAACATATGTTTGTTCTCAAACACTCTATAGCCCGATCCAATTAAACTTTGGTTAGATGGTATGTTGTTAGTCTCAGAATTGGATAATTGTATGATTACTTTGAAAAGTGTCCAAATTACACATTTGAAATTAATCTCCACTTATTCAATGTGAAACTTAAAGTGTGTGTTTGAATATTCATGTAAACATCACAGCGCTCATAACTGGTTTGATTCCCAACCTGAGTAGTCAATTATTTCCTTTCCTCACTCGTAAGATACACACCCCCAAATTTATGCTTTTTACTCACTTTTCCCAAGGTATGCTCTAAGGTTGACGTTTAGCTAATTCTGATCCTTACCCTCTCTCATTTGGATAGATCTTAGCTAATATAGATTCACATCTCGACTAATAAGGATTCTCCCATATTTTTGATTACTTCGGCTTCTAAGACTCAATTGACCTAATAACCCGTTGTCAAAGGTATAAGTCTCTAAAATAGTTGTTCAAGGCTTAATCTTGGCACTTGATGTGTCTTCTATTTTATGCACCTGCTTATTCTGATACTTTAACGTTTTATTAATACTTCTCTCCATTAAGCAACTAAGTGACCCCTATAGCGAGCTTTCAGCCGATGACTCCCAAATCAGATGATCATAGGGTATTAGGTTTTAAGGACTCTTGTAGGCTTAATTGTTCGAGTAAAAAAGGCTCCGAAGAGAAATTCTTTTTACTTCTTTTAATTGCCAAGATTAGTGTAATGCCCCTTATTAAACACCTATTCTCGAAACTGATCACCTAACTTGAGGTTTTCATCCCAATTCATCTTATTGGCTCTAGATAATCCACTCAATCATTTCACACATAGAATCCTTACTTATCTCAATTTTTTCCTATACTAGTTTAATCATCTCCAAATTCTCGTAAAAGAGGTTTTATGGTCTTATGTATTTGTGTTGTTTCAGGTTTGAATCAATTATGTTCAACTTTCTCCTTATACAAACCAAGTCATCAACTCATAATGCAAAACATGAATATCGTGCTCAATAGAGATCAAGTTTCACATCAACAAGTGTCAACTAACTCAACATATAATTCTTCCACGGTTCTTAGTTAATTACACTGTTCCAATATATGCATCAATGCCAGCAAGGCCATCCAACCCACACAAGCACACAAAAGTTAAAAACAATTTCTATTTTTTTCCATAAAAACACACCAATCATGTGAAAAGAAGTAAACCACATGCAAGCGATAAAGATAACTAATTAAACCACCCCCAAACTTAACAGGTGCATTGTCCTCAATGTACCACAATAGGGAATTAATGCAAAAGTAAGGGCGTGAAAGGAACTGAGAACTCCCCTAATCAATCGAAAGGTGGATGTGGAGGTAAACGGGAAAGAATCTCCCTCATCAAAGCAGATTGCTGGCCCATTTCAATTTGCATACCACGAACCATGTCGTATGTCTGATCAGCTCAAAATTGCATGCCATCCATCATTCCAATAGAACGATCCAACCTCCCAATTAGCCTATCAGTACATCGGCGTAAATCAGAGACATCTTCTTAAGTCCTGCTTGCTCTGGCTCGTACAATCCCAATGTCAATTTGGATATCTTGTACCCGTAAATCCAAGGCTATAAATGCCTGCTGCAACTGTTGAACATCCCTTCTCAACCCAGTCATCGTCATAAACATCTGACACGGTATGTGGGTGTTAACTGGTGGCTTATGTTGTTGGGCCTGGTGGATGTCAACGTCATCCCCATGGTTCTCATCGTCCTGGTTATCATGTCATCCCTGTCTGTATTGATTGACTTTTCGCGAAGAGTTCTGGGCGGAGAGAATGTTGATTGGGACAGCAGGACACATTGCCTGCTCAGCTGGTAGGAGCTTCACCTCGTAAGCCTTGCATATTCCATAGATAAGGCTTTGAAATATGAGTGTGTGTCATGGGTCTTCTTAGCAGTGCGGGTACAGCTCAAATTATAGATGTAAGTGCCCAAGTCAAATTTGAGCCCTCTAGCTAGATGGTAGAGCAAAGTAGCTTTAGTGTGGTCGAACTTGTAACGATGCTTGGAGGGATCTACATTGTGGCAAACAAACATCATCAGAATCATGAGGGACTCAGGTCAAATTACAGTATAAGAAATTCGGTCAATGAAGCGGCCAGACATCTGTTCTTCCATATAAAACCTGCGCTAACTCTGGCCAATTCTACTCTGGTTGTATTAGGATGATACCCTCTTGAGTCAATTCAAGATATTCATCAATGACCTCAGGTGTGAACATAAACAATTTATCCCACACCCAGGTTCGGTGCTGGTGATCGATCCCAGGCTCGTCGATGGAGAAGTTAAAATTTATGAAGAACTCTTGAACAAGTGTAGGATAAAGGGCAAATGGTTTAGCTATCACCTTTTCCTAGCCCGTATGGTAAATTAATGTCTCAATTTCAAACCTCGGGAAATCTTCCAATACCACTTTCTACTCTGGTAAAATAGTCCATTTTGCAACTACTTGCTCAAATCAAAGCTTATGCTCTGTGCTTAGAAATCTTCGCAAGCCACCTTCATCAACACGAGAGCAGCCTAGGTTGGATGAAGAAGATGCTTTACCTTCCCCTTTTGAAGTGGAGGGGGCATCGCATGTGCGTTTGGGAGACATTCCTGCAAAAGTCATAAAATAGGCAACATGAGATAGATGAACGGGATAATTGTTATCAAGAAAATACGAAGAGTACAAAACAAAGGAGCAAAGTGTGGTGCTATGTGTGGAGAGAAACACAGGTAATGTGGTGAAAGGGATAGTAAGTACAACTTGTTGTTTCCCTTCAATTTCAAGTTATACATGAAAGTGGATGCAGGCAAGTATAAGCTGGCGTTAAAGTGTGTAAAGCTCAAGTGTTATGCAAAAATTCAAGCTAAAATGTAGACAATTGAGCCATTGAGACAATTAAGCAAACACCTTGTGGGCAATGGTATTATAGGAAAAACCTATACTTCCATGCCATTGATGAATCTACCAATTTAGACAACAACTTCAACAAAAGCCATAATCACCTAAGCCCAACCTCCACAATGATTCATAAAGTCCATCAAATTGCACGACAATAAAAAAATATTTTAAACCCGAGAGTTTGCAAAAAGAAACACATTACCTTCGAGTTCTTGGCAAGTAGAGAATTTGACCAGATGACTTTGATGTGCAAGGTGTTCTAATGTGTTAAATTTGCAATGCCCAAGAGATGGGGAGAGAGATTGGGAGGGATTATGTGCATGGGTGAAGGATTTAAACCCTCACCCGATGGGCTGTGCATACGCATGGCTTGGGCCGTGCGTACGCAACCGTGCGTAAGCACGGCCTGCAAGTCAATGCTTACGCATGGTTAAACCATGAAATATTATTATTATTATTATTATTATTATTATTATTATTATTATTATTATTATTATTATTATTATTATTTTTAATAAACTAACTCTCGCACCCACCTCCAATTGAATTCTATTACATAACATATTTTATGAATATGTAAAACGAATGTGACATGGAAGTTCAACGCCAATCCCGAAAGGTTCGTTTTGGTTTGAACCTAACCTAACCACTCATGTTCCACTCCCAACCTAATACCTTTACCACTATGAACGAGAAATGTGCGGGTGGCGCGGGAACCAACAAATTTTATACAAGTCACTCTTGTACCCAAAATTACATTTTTCAGTCTTGATGACCTTAACATCTCGTTTTTACTTAGATATTCGTGATGCTCCCCAATTGCACGCATGTGATGATTGAACTCCCCTAAACTTGTGTAAAACAAATATGAAATTGCGTGACTTGTACAATGACTCAACTACTAAGTAATGAATGGATGACACCTAATCTATCTAACACACCAAAGCAATAAAGAGAACATAAAAATCCTAATCTAATGCAACAAAGCAGAAAAAATAAAAGGGAAGAGAATTGGGTTGCCTCCCAATAAGCGCTATTTTTATAGTCTATAGCTCGAATTTGTTGCTCAAGCTACTCTACACTGTTAATAGGTACGGTTGTCTTTTCATTGAAGTAGTCACCTTCCCAATAGGCTTTCAACTGTTGTCCATTCAGTTTAAACCTACTCTGTTCATCCTGAGATACCACTTCTATAGCACCATGTGGAAGCACAACTATTACTGTGAAAGGACCTAACCTCCTAGACTTTAGCTTTCCAGGAAAGAGTTTGAGACGTGAATTGAACATCAATACTTGTTGGCCAACTTCAAAATCCTTCTCTCTTATATGTATGTCATGCCAACTCTTGGTCTTCTCCTTATAAATCTTTGCATTATCATATGAATCCAAACAAAATTCTTCTAGCTCATGAAGTTATAGAACCCTCTTTTCTCCTGCTGCCCTCTTATTGAAATTGAGCAAGTGAGTCGCCCAATATGCCTTATGCTCTAACTCAACGGGCATATGACAAGCCTTTCCAAACATCAGTTGATATAGAGACATGCCAATTGGAGTCTTAAATGCTGTTCTATAAGCCCCAAGTGCATCTTCTAGCTTCTTAGCCCAATCCTTACAGGAGGCATTGACTGTAACTTCGAGAATCTTCTTTAACTCCCTGTTGGAGATTTTCACTTGTCCACTAGTCTGAGGATGGTACGACATCAAGACACAATGATTCATTCCATATTTGGCCAACAATGATGCAAATAAGCAATTACAGAAATGCTTTCCACTATCACTAATAATTGCCCTCGAGGTGCCGTATCGAGTGAAAATGTTCTTCTTCATGAACTGAGTTACCACTCGCCCGCCGTTAGTTGGCAAAGCCATAGCTTCAACCCACTTAGACATGTAGTCCACTACCACTAGTATGTATTGTTGACCGCAGGAGAGAGGGAATGGTCTCATGAAGTTAATGCCCTAAAAGTCGAAAATTTCAACTTCCAAAATGCTGTTTAAAGGCATCTTATTCTTCCTTGAGATATTTCCAGTCTTTTGACACTCATCACAATGTTTCACCATATAATGTATGTCCTTGAACAACGTAGGCCAATAGAAACCCGATTGTAGTACCTTTGATGCTGTCTTGGTTGCTGCAAAGTTGCCCTCGTACGGTGCAGAGTGACATGACTCTAATATTTGATGCTGCTCTACCTTTAGCACACAACGACGTATAATCTAATATGGAACCCTTCTGTAAAGAATTGGATCATCCAAAAAGTAATGTTTTACATCACTGAAGAATTTTTTCTTTTGGTGACTCGAGTAGTCTAGTGGGATGATGGAGTGGGTCAAATAATTGACATAATCGGCATACCATGGTGTAGTGATAATCTAAAAGAGCATTTCATCAGGAAAAACTTCATTAATTTCTAGTGTAGGAGTTGACTCATGTGATTCAAGGCGAGACAGGTGATCTGCCACAACATTCTCACTCCCCTTTTTATCTCTAATTTCCAAATCAAACTCTTGCAATAGGGGTATTCATCGAATAAGCCTGGACTTTGCATTCTTCTTGCTCATTAGATATTTTATGATTGAATGATTTGTATAGATAATCACTTTTGACCCAATCAAATATGATATGAATTTGTCAACGACAAACACTACTGCCAACAACTCTTTCTCTGTAGTCGCATAATTCATTTGAGCCTCATCCAAAGTCTTACTGGCATAGTGAATCACATGAGAACTCTTCTCCTTTCGTTGACCCAACACCACCCCCACTGCATGATCATTGGCATCACATATAAGTTCGAACGAATAATTCCAATCTGGAGAAGCCAATACTAGAGCAGAAACCAATTTTTCTTTTAAGGTGTTGAAAGCTGTCGAGCACTCCTCAGAAAAGTGAAATGGGGCCCATTTTTCCAGTAAATTGTACAATGGTTTTGAGAATTTGGAGAAGTTTTTGATGAAGTGGTGGTAAAACCTAGTGTGACCCAAGAAACTTCTAACTCTTTTTACTGTTACCGAAGGTGGTAGTTTTTTTATGACTTGTATCTTAGCTCTATCAACCTCAATACCCCGTGCTGAAATTACATGCCCTAACACAATCTCTTCCTGAACCATGAAATGACATTTTTCCCAATTTAACACGAGGTTTGTGTCTTCACATCGTCGTAACACTTTTCCTAAATGTTCTAGGCATTCCTTAAATGATTTTCCAAACATTGAGAAATCATACATAAACACTTCAATAATATGTCCCACCATGTTTGAGAAAATAGACATCATACAGCGCTGAAAGGTGGCTGGAGCATTGCAAAGGCCAAAAGGCATTCTCCTATAAGCAAAGTGTCATAAGGGCATGTAAAGGTTGTCTTTTCTTGATCATCCGGCACTATTTGAATCTGGTTGTTCCCCAAATAACCATCCAAGAAACAGTAGTAAACATGTCCAGAGAGTCTCTCCAAAATCTAGTCAATGAAAGGAAGGGGAAAGTGATCATTCCTAGTGGCGTTGTTGAGTTTACGATAATCAAAGCAAACTCTTCAACCCGTGATTGTCCGTGTAGGGATGAGCTTGTTATTTTCATTTGGGACCACCGTGATTCCTCCTTTTTTTGACACTACTTGTATTGGACTGACCCAATGGCTGTCTCATATGGGATAGATGATCCCTGCATCCAAAATCTTTAATACTTTTTTCTTACCACTTTCTGCATATTCGGATTTAATCTGTATTGAAGATCAACTAAAGCTTTGTAATCATCTTCCATCAATATCTTTTGCATGGAAAATGAAGGGCTCATTCTTTTTATGTCTGATATCGTCCATCCTAATGCTGTATTGTGATCCCGAAGTACTTTTAGCTTATTTTCCTCTAACTCTGTAAGATTGTTCGACATAATTACTGGGAGCGAATTCTTTTCCCTAAATATGCATAGCGTAGATGACTGGGTAGCTGTTTGAGTTCAAGAGTTGGAGCTTGCTATATAGATGGTAAAGGCTTTGCGGGTCTTTCATCGAGCTCCAAACATAGCTGCTTGAAGAGTGGTGGTATGGCTGCCAAATAACGTGCACACTCTTTTGCTTCCTCTTTTTTCGATGGCAATTCCTGAGAATGCACTAAGTAAGCCTCAAGCGGATCCTGAGGGTGATCAAGTTTGAATGTCTCTGACACTGCTTCCTTGATTATGTCTATCTGCATGCAAGAGTCTGGTTCATTCTGAAATCTGAAAGCTCTAAATACATTGATCGTCAGTTCTTCTTCATCTAATCTCAATATCAACCGACTCTTTTGCACATCTATCAGCACCCTTCCCGTAGCAAAATGAGCGACCCAATATGAGGGGGACCTCCCGATCTTCTTCCATATTCAGAATAATGAAGTCCACTAGAAAGATAAACTTATTGACCTTGACCAAAATATCTTCACAAATATCTCGCGGGTGCTTGATCAACCTGTAGACTAATGCGGTGAAACTGTAGTCGCTTTTGCTTCCCCCAAACCTAATTTCCTGAAAAGAGATGAAGGCAATAAATTAAGGCTAGCGCCTAAATCACACAATGCCTTATCTATATACAAAGTACTAATGTTACAAGGAATAGTAAAACTCCCTGGGTCTTTTAGTTTCGATGGTAATTTGTATTGAAGAATTGTACTGCACTTCTCAGTAAGCATGATCGCTTCATTGTCTTCTAGCTTCCTCTTGTTTGATAAGATGTCTTTCATAAACTTGGCGTAGCTGGGCATTTGAGCTAGGGCTTCAACGAACGGTATGTTAATGTGCAACTTCTTAAATACAACCAAAAATTTTTGAAACTATTTATCTAGCTTATGTTTTTGCAGTCTCTGTGAAAATGGAATTGGAGGCACATATGCTTTGACATGAGCGCTTGTCTTAACTTGTGGACTGTTAGATAACTTGACTCAATTTTCCTCTGTTGTTTTGTCTGATTCATCAACTTGCTCCTCACCTATGGTAGGTGTATTTTCTATGACAGTTGTTGGCCGCTTTACATGTATTTCTGGTAGCTGGACTCCACTCCATATAGTTGTCTTTGACCTGCTTTTTAGGGTTTGTCTCGATGTTGCTAGGTAACGTCCCTTGAGCTCTATCTGATAGTGCGGCTGCAATCTGTCCCACATGTTGTTCCAAGTTCTTGATTGAGGCCTGTTGATTCTGAAAATTGGTCTCAGTCTTAGTGATGTACTGAGCCAGCAAATCTTCTAACGATGGTTTCTTTCCTTGTTGTTGGAACCCTGGTGGTTTAATCTGATTGTTTCCTCCTTGTCCTTGTCTCTAATTGCTAGACCATGAAAAGTTTGGATGATTCCTCCAACCTGGATTAAATGTGTTGGAGAAGGGACTATTTTGCTGTCTCTGAAATTTTTGCACATGGCTCACTTCTTCAAACTGGTTAACATGTGTAGACGCCAGAGAGCAGTGCGTAGTATTATGATCAGCTCCACAACCTTCACAAATCGGTAGAGATTGGTGTACCATGTTAATTGACTTAGACAAATTGTCTATTTTCATTGTAAGAACTTCCATTTGTACAGCCAGTGCTATCACTGTATCCACATTGTGTAACCCTGCTGTTTTGCTTGGAACTTCCCTATCGGTTGGCCACATCGATTGATTCTTAGCTATTTTTTCATATAGGTCATATGCCTCATCCACATCCAATTTCATCACCGATCCTCCTGCTAAAGCATCTATCATATTTCTGAACTCTTGTTTTAGATCATAGTAGAAGAAATACTGCTGAGCCTGCTTAGGAATGTTAAGGCTGGGGCATTTTCTGAAAAAATTCTTGAACCTTTCCCATGCCTCCGGATAGCTCTCGAGACCTTTTTGCTTGAAGGTGTGGACATCATTCCTGATTTGGTGGACTCGAGAAGGTGGAAAGAATTTCATCATGAATTTCTGAACCATATCGTTCCATGACTGTATACTCCCAGGAGGTAGATAGAGAAACCATTCTCTAGCAGCATCTTTCAAGGTATGAGGGAATAATCTCATTCGGAATGCGTATGTTGATATCCCTTTGTAACTGATCACTTCACATAGCATGAGAAAAGTATAAATGTGTTCATGAGGATTCTCCATGGCTTTTTCAAATAATTTAATGTCTTGGTGATTTTGAAACAGTTTGATGACATCTGGTTGAAAGTGAAAATTAGGCTGTCCAAAGAGAGGATATACCACAGCTGGTTGCACTGGTGCTAGAATTGGATTAATATAATCTCCAACTAAGATAGGGGCTTCATTTTGGATAGGTCTCGGTTAATTTGGCTGCGGTATTTGCTCGTGAAGCTGAACCTGATTTTGTAATTAATTTTGGTTATCGACCATTCTCCTTGCTCGACGTTGAACTCTTCTACAATTTCTAAATGTTCTTTCTATTTTGTGATCGATTGGAAAGAGATTTGGCTCGTTAGGATTTTGCATAAACTAAAGTTGCCTACAAAGTGTCAAGACATAAGAGAATTAATCGGTGTAATGGTAGCCTAAAAACAACAACTAAAAATGAAATAAAAATAAAGAAAAACAAAATTAAAATATCTAATAACTAAAATTAACACCATTATTCCCCGACAACGGTGCCAAAAATTTGTTCGTCGAAATTCAGCAAGCGTACGGGTTCGTTGTTCAAGTAATAATTGTGATGAAAGAGTTATCGTCCCACAGGGAATAAGGTCTAATTCTAGTGTATTCGATATAATTAAGTTCGTGCTAGTAACCAAAAGTTGATTTTAGCTTGAATAGCTGATTAAGTTCTATAACTAAAAATTTCAAAATTAATGAGAATTTGTTTTAAAATTCAGATGAGTAAATGTATTAGATTTTCGACACCACTGATCAACTCTTAGTTCTAATTCTCAACCTACGACATTTATCTCAACTCATGCAATTGTGACAATCAATAATTCCACTTCTATTTATTATTCTTTCCCAAGATATAATAAACCTATGATTACCACGAGACGATCCTATTCCTAGTTCGAATTCATATGACAAATATGCATTGATGTGTAGGATTATCACACTTGATTGCACACGTCACAAATATTATTTAATGAGAATTTGTTTTAAAATTCAGATGAGTAAATGTATTGGAATTTCGACGCCACTGATCAACTCTTAGTTCTAATTTTCAACCTATGACATTTATCTCAACTCATACAATTGTGATGATCGATAATTTCACTTTTATTTATTATTTCCACTTTTATTTATTATTCTTTCTCAAGATATAATAAACCTATAATTACTACGAGACGATCCTATTCCTTCCGAATTCATATGGCAAACACAAATTGATATGTAAGATTATCACACATGTTCGCACACACTACAAATATGATTCCTAACATTCATTGTCCATGTGTTTCAATAACAGTGTTCTATCTACTCGTGAGTTTTCCAACTCTACGTATAAATAATTTCTTGTCCTAATGGTGCGCAAATATTAAAACAATATGGATATGCATATTAAAGGAATCACAACACAAGAATTAAGATAAAAACATAAGGTCTTGAATTAAAAACTAAGAATCAATCAATTTTGTCATCCATCCAATACAAAGATATTTAGCCTAGCATATTAATGTAGGAAATACATGAAAAATAAAAGAACGACATCACCCAAATCATTAAAGTATGAAAAGAATCTGAAATCCTTCAATTTATGCCTTCAATTCCGAATCCAAGTGATCAAGACTTGTTCTTCAATGTATATCTCTCTCTTTTCCTCTTTGTCAGCTTGCAAGATGATAGAAAAATTAGGTCCCCGTGTTTTAGCCGATTCTTGATATAAATATGGTGTCAAAAATTCCAAACCAAGACTTTCCAAAACAAAATAAGGAAATAGAATTTTTTTTGTCGGAGTTGAACCATGCGTACGCATGGTTCATTTGGTGCGTATGCATAGTAGCTCCAATTGAGCTTTGAAAGTTCAATTTCCCAACCGTGCGTACACAAGGCCTGCAGGCCCATGCGCACTCGTAGCTTAATTTTTTAGGGACTAAATAAACTTTTTAAAGTGTGTGTTTTGGTCATTTTTCAAAATTTCTTGTCCCATTAGCTTCTCTTCAATTCTAATTGACTCTTGGTGTTTTTAACTCATCGTTCTGCAGTCCATTTCAACTTTTAGATTATTGCATTCTAGTCCCTAAACTTTACTCTTGATGCAATTGAGTCATTTTTCCTGCTTATTTTCTTTATTCTCGTATCTTCCATTGATTGTAACGTACACACAATATTTACATAGGATTAAGCAATATTTCATCCAATTCATCAATAAATAATTAATTTTAACGGCCTAAATAAGTATATAAGATACACTTATCAGAGCCTTTTGTGTGTCTTGGGATCTAGCATAGTGTGTAAGGGTTTATTTTAAATAAAACTCTAGCATGGATATAAAATTTCTTATTGTAGCCGAAAAGATTCTTTATAAACGGTGGGTGCATTCTAATAGGACTTGTTTTATGATCATGAAGTATATATACGATTGATAAATTTATTAGGCAGAGCATATCTGATACAGATAATGCCAAAGAGTATCTTGAGACTGTTGGGAAGAAATTTAATACATTTGACAGGGCATAAAGAGGAACTTTGATGAAACTTCTCACTACCACAACCTATGATGGGGTTAGTGGAGTTAGAGAGCACATTATAAAGCTTACTCAGTTCTTTAACAAGCTAAATACAATGAAAAGGTTGATTAAAGATGGTATACTAGTTGACTTGGATTTTTCTTACTTAGAAACTTGTGTCGCTTGTATCAAAGAAAAGCTTCAAAAAATAAAATAAAATAAAATTGCTGAATACATTTTCAATCAAGTACCAAGCAAGTCGATTCCTAAAACCCCTTATGAATTATGGTTAGGTAA